CCCGCGGACGGGGCGAGCGCCCCAGCCCGGCCTGGCCCGGCTCTATTCTGGTCACCGGGCTCAGCTCCGCTCCGCCCGACCCGGTTCAGTTCGGCTCTGGTCCGGTCGCCCTGCCTCGGCGCTGCCCCGCGCTGTCCCCGCGGCCGTCGGGGAAGTGCCGAACCCGCGGATGCTCCGCGCTTTGTCTCCCGGCTCCGCGCAGGGCATCGGGGGAGAGGGGACAACATCCCTCTCTTTTTCTTTTTCAACAACAACAACAAAGTTTGTAGTTTTGTCTTTTCCGTCCTTTTTATTATTTATTGATTGATTTAGACCTGAATCTGCGGCCGCCGGGAAGGGCCATCCCGAGGCCAAATGGCGCTAACTCTTTTGGGAGCAAGCGCCGCCGTGCAGCTCCGCGGGGACCTCCGCGGCCACGCGCGGCTTCCCGGGAGCAGCCCCGCTGCGCGGGGGCGTGGAGTGCGCGCGGGTGCGCGCGGCGTGGCGGGGTCTCGCCAGCAGGCGTTTGTTCCCAGGAATTTATTGTAGTATTCAAGCTGAACTGCTGCAAAAATAAAAGAGGTAAAGTCTGCCTAGGAGCTGGAGTGACCACAGCAGGATATGACGCCAGGAGTGTTGTAAAGACTGTCTGTCCTTAAAGAAGGTACTATTGTGCATGGCCTTTTATTTATAACTCGGTAAGTGCCAGGAAACTCGCCTCCTTTACACTCTGAAGTGCCAGCCCAGCTTTCCACAGTGCTCTTTATTTGCAATAGTCTATTCAGCAACTGTCACTCCCGAGCTTCAAGTTATTCAAGACCTTAATCAATCAAAAGGATGAGAATCGTTCAGGTTTCCCCCTTTGAAATAAAGGGAACAATGTTCGCTGGCCGCGGAGCCCGCTTTCCCCGGCGAGGCGGCTGCTGGTACCAGCCTTTGCCGTGCCTCAAATTCTCCGCGTTTCAGAGCAATCCCCGACGCGGAGAAGCGGCCGCGCGAGGAAGTGGAGCGGGGAGAGTTCCGCGCTGACCAGCGCAGCCTTCGCGCGGAGTGGGACCCGCCGTCGGTCACAGCCAGCCCGTCCTCGCGGTGTCCGGGCGGCTGTTGCTGCCTGCGCCCAACGCGGAGCTTTCGAGCCGCTTTATAACGCTGCGCACCCGAAGCGCGGCTCCCTGCGACCGCCGGCTGCCTCTTAGCCTAGGAGCAGAGCCCAGAACGGCTATTAAAAATACCAGAAAACAGGTTGCTATCGAAATTCCGCGTGTCAGAAAAAAAAAAGCCCACGTGCATTTCATACAAATTTCATATTTTATAAAACATCCTGATGATCAAAACTTTGAGGAAAAATCTTCGCGGGACCTATAAAATCTCAACTACAACCCAAGCGCTTGGGAAAGGACCGGGTTTCCCCGCTGTGCTCCGCGAGCTTTTGCAGTGCTCCCCGGTAGTCAAATCGCGACGGGGTTCAATGAGAAAAAACGCGACAGGAACACACCGGCTCTCCAGAAATTGCCCAAATGTATAATTTAGAGGGCATTATTGGTCACACATTAAAAAAAAAGAAAAAAGAAAAAAAAAGACGAATAGAAAACCTTAGAAGAAGGAATCTGGGAGAAGTCCTAATAAAAAATAAGCTAAGTAACTATTGAAGAGTTGTTGAAAAGCTGTTGCGTGCGTGCGGAACGGGCCGCGCTGCACCTTCCCCTCCGCTGCCCCGACGGCTCCGCGGGCCGGGAAGCGCCTCCAGCCAAAAATCAATGGGAAAAGATGAGCCCCGAGCGCCTGGCCCCGCTCCTCCCTCCGCCTTGCCCCCACCCCCATATTCCCGTCCTGCGGCCAGCAGAGATGATTTCACGCTTTTCCAGTGGAAATGGCTAAAAACGCTGCTGCTAATTACAGAGCTCTTCCAGGCCAGGTGCACTTTTAATTGGATTAGTAAGTGCTCTATATTAAACCTGCAGCACATCAATTGGGTAGTGAAAATTAGAGCTATTAGGAACAGAGGCAATCATTTCTGAACGATAACATTACTGTTTTCTCCGCTATTA